ACTGATGGACACTTAGGTTGATTCCATACCTAGGATATTGTAAATAATGCTGCAGTGAACATGGGAGTGCTCATATCACTTTGACATATTGATTTCAAGTTCTTAGGGTATACACCCAGATGTGAGATTGTTGAATCATATTGTAATTTTTAGTTTTTGAGAACCTCCATATAGTTATCCAAATGCCTGTACCAATTTATATTCCCACCAAAAATGTACAAGGGTCCCTTTTCTCCACATGCCTGCCAATCCTTGTTATCTTTTTCACCTTTTGATAATAGCCATTCTGACATGTGTGAGATGATATGTCATTGCAGTTTTAATTCGCATTTCCCTAATGATTAGTGATGTTGAGTGTTTTTTCATAATGTCTGTTGGTTATTTTTATTGTTTTTTGAGAAACATCTATTCAGATGCTTTGCCCATTTGATTCATCAAGTTATTTGGTTTATTTTTCCTATAGAATTCTGTGAGTTTTTATATATTTTGGTATTAACCCCTTAGATGCCTTTTTTTTCAAACTGTAGTCTGTCTCTTCACTCTATTAATTGTTTCTTTTGCTGTACAGAAGCTTTTTAGCTTGATATGATCCAATTTAAGACCAACCAATTTCTTTTTGACTTCTTTTAAGCAGAAAAGTTTACTATTCCAGTGTAAAAAACCATTTAACAAATCACAGCAGTATGCATTCAAGGAATTTTGTTGACTCTAACTCCATAAGTAGGTTACAGCTCTCAAAGGGCTAATAGTTTAATCAAAGAGTTTGATTAGACATGTAATTTATACTGTCATTTGATAAATATCTGACAGTAAAATGCTATACAGAAAAATTGACAAAGATGTGAGTAGATTTTTCATAAAAGAAAAAATCAAGAAATGTGAACTCATATGTTCAGTTTGATTAAATCAATAAAAGTAAACTAAGAAACATTGCTATTTTTTACCTACTGGAAAATTTTTGCTTCCTTAACCGCTTTGATACGAGTGTCGACCATAGTTGACAGCCACAGATGAACGCGCACAGCCGAGCGTGGACTTTAGCCGACAGCCGTGATATGAAGGCGCACAGCCGAGTGTCAACTTTAGTCTATAATTTTGAATTGACTTTTCTAATTTTTCATTTATCAAAATAAAACTGTGAACATTTAAAAATAACGCAATGAAAACATGTACGTATATGTTACCTATTCTGATTGACATTACAAGTAAAGCTGCCTGTAAAGTAAAACAAGCTTTCAGTGCTTTCAAGCTTTCCTCATCACACAAGAGCAAAACAGATCCTTGGTCAATGCACAGCACAAACTATCGTGCGGAGTGTGAGTGCCAGCTGTGGGCAAGGTTTCGAGGCCAGTTAGCGCTGTACGGAAGTGGTTAATACATGTAAACGTATTAAAGTTTATCGCTTTGAAATCCAAAGGCACTGAAAAGTAATTGATAAGAATGTTCTTTTGTCTTTTGAGTTGTTGAGCATTTGGTGACCAGTTGTTTGTTTCACTAAATATCCTGAGAATTAGTTTGGAAGCATTGTTTCCTAATTCTGGTAGGTTCATTCCAGAATAAGTTCTCCAGATTTATAAAGAACAGTAATAACTAGCATCTATTGAACTCTTTCTTTTTGCCTGGTACTACTAAGTATTTTACATTAATTTATTTGATTTAATTATTACATAACTATTAAATAGGATTCATAATTGGATCACTGTGATCTTAGAGCCAAGCTTTTAGCTGTTTCACTCTTTCAGGAATTGGTAAGTCTAAATATCTTCAGGATCTATCCATGTAATGTAAATTAAGAAAAATGTCAGACTGCCTAATCTGTGATTAGATTCATAAGAAGGAAATAAAATCTTAATGTTACTTCTCTTTGAGGGGACTTGGATCAAATGTTTGTAATACATGTCAGTATAAGATGATTTTTCCAATATATTAATAAGCAAACAAATAAACATTCTGTAAATCAATAAGTAAAAATCATCGTTGTAATGGAGAAATTGAACAGCGGTTTGTTAGGAATAGACAATTCACACAAAAAATCTGAATAATCAGTAATGTATGAAAAGATGCTAAGCTTCACTCATAATCAAGGAAATGCAAACTGAAAAGAAGATACAATTTCATATCTGTCTGGTTGGCAGTGCTGTGAATTCTCATGATGCCAAGTATTGGCAAGGATTTGGGGGAAGAGGGAACTCTTACATACTACTATTGGGTGAGTAAATTGATATTACCAGTTTGGAGACCAATTTAGTAAATTTGAAATATGGTTGATGATGCTCGTACATTATGACCTGGAGTTCCACTTTCAGGTAGCTGTTATGGACAATCTTTCATGGATGGGCAGGACAAGATGTAAGGTAAACATGCTCATTGCAGCACAGCATGCAATAATGCAAAGCATGAAATGCCTGCATTCCTTCCGTTGGGAAATGAAAAAATAAATTGGGGTTTATTCCTGCAACAGAGTGCACTTCAGCAGTTACAGAATATTAACATGGATAAATCTCAACATGATATTGAGTGGAAACTGCAAGTTCCAAAAGGACGTGATTTTTTTTTTTTTTTTTTTAGAGAGAGGGTCTTACTCTGTCAGCTAGGCTGGAGTACAGTGGCCTGATCATAGTTCACTGTAATCTTGAACTCCTGTGCTCAATCCTCCTAGTTCAGCCTCCGGAGTGGCTGGCACCACAGGCATGTGCCACCATGCCCGGCTAATTTTTTTTTTTTTTAACAGTTGGATGTCTCACTTTGTTGTCCAGGGTGGTCTCAAACTCCAAGCCTCAAGTGATCCTTCTGCCTTGGCCTCCCAAAGTGCTGGGATTATAGGCATGTGCGACTATTCCAGACCAGGATGTGAATTATATTATTTATATAAAAACTTAAAATATACATTGTTTATGGATATATGCATATATAGTAAAGTTATAAAAACATGCATACATTCATGATACATCAGTTTTAGTCTTTTAGAAAGGCAATAGGAGAGAGAGTGGGCTTTATATCTATAATGATTGATGCTTTAAAAAAATTCAGAGCTTTGAAACAAAAAACATTTAACATATGTTAATCTCTGTGATGGATAATAGGTATGTTTTAATTTTTTGTTTTTGTACATTTCTTGTGTTTGAAGTGTTACATAAAAATGTATTTAACTGTCAAAGAAAAAATAATTGTAACTATGTGATAAGAGGTCTGCCTTCCTTTCCTTTCCTTTTCTTTTCTTTTTTCTTTTCACTGTTGTTTTTTATTTTTCTATTTTATATTTTTGCCAGCCCAAAAGAAAAAGTATTAAATCCCCTGTGGTCATTCAGGAATTCTTTGGGTGGTGAAGTAGTGATAGAACTGAGAAAACAAAGAAGTTTGCTTGGGTAAAGAGTGGAGGGGGAGATCTTCCATAATAGAACAGCACTTATAGAATAAGGGAGGCAAGAAAAGGAACATTCAGCTCATTAATTGAATAAGTGCAAGTCGTTCATCATAACTAGAAGTGAACAAAGGGCACCAAGGAGTAGTGAGTGACATCAGTCTGGAATTTAGACAAGGCCCAGGTGATGAAAGCTGTGATATATGCAAATATGTTTGGATTTAATCCTGTGGACCAGTGGTTCTCAATACAGTCTGAACATAGCATTAATTGAATCTCATTCCAGATTTAGTGAATTAGATCTCTTAGAATAGGAACTAGGACACTGTTCTTTAAAAATCTCAGCCATATCTCTTCTCCTACTTCATTCTTACAACCCTCTGAAAGAGGGAGCTAATGTTGCTTTTCATCTATGTTATGGAAGGATTACAGTCCAAAGTGAGATTGTACAAGTTTACCACGTTTTTGACACATGTACGGTTAGAAATCAGCACCCTCTCATGAAATGATACCTTCTGCTTCTACTCCAGTTGGCTGGGGCAAACGAGAAAAGATACACTAAAATGGTTTTCTTCAATTCTGAGATGGTAGTTCTGAAGGTTTTTTCTCCCAAACCCTCCAGATTTTTATGAGCTGAAAGCCTCCATATAAAATTAGATTATATTGGAAAATGTATGATATATAGTCAGGATCTGCTCATCATTACTCACCATAGGAGCTTTTAAAGGTTTTTTGTTAGTGTAACAGTAAGCTTTGTGTTTTTTTTATTGGGGGTGGAGAGGGATGGAGTTAAAAGGCAAGGAATAGGGGAGGGGGAAGGGAGTTTTGGATAAATTCACACCTAAGGGGTACAATGCACACTGTCTGGGGGATGGGCACACTTTGACTCAGATGGTTCAAAAGTAACTTATGTAGGTGAAACATTTGTATCCCCATAATATCTGAAATTTTAAAAAAAGGCAATACACATTAGCAATATTCCATGTAAGAAATGATGATGGTCCTTACGGAAGGCTATAGGACTGAATAGGAAGTGATAGAGTCAAGAGAAAATGAGAAAACATTATCTAATAAATATGCTCTATGAGTGTGATCTTCTGAAAAAAATGAGCTCATGAGATTGGGCAAAGAAGGTAAGAAAGCCTGAGAGGTGGGGAGAGCTGATTGGTTCTGGATACTATATGCATAGCAAATGCTTTTAGAGGGCTTAAGTTTTGATTTTGAGTATATTTCTAGTCTCAGTCACAGAAAATGTTGATGATAACTAATAACCTGATTTTTATTTTTCTGTAATTTTAGGTAGTATTCTCCTATCCGAAGTTATTTTATGTAGATTAAAGTCACATGCTGTCTTAACCATCTAGCAGTTGGTGTTCTGAAAGAGAGGCAGTGGACTTTGACCAGCCGTAGGAATAGTATTAATGAAAAGTTCTCTCTTATTTTACATTATTAACCTTTTAATGTAATATAACTCACTAGAGAGTTTTGAAGTTTAACTGTTTACTATCAAGTTAATAGAAACTTCTCTTTAGAAAATATAAAATCTCATGAGTAAAATACCCTTATAGAATAAGGCCTGATGCATAAGCATTTCCTAATAGAGATGAATTATATGAATATTATTTTTTATTACCAAAAGGGCAAAAGTTGGATTGTTAAAAGAAGCTATGAAGATTTTCGGGTACTTGATAAACATCTTCATCTATGTATTTATGACCGACGATTTTCTCAACTCTCAGAGCTTCCCCGCTCTGACACCCTGAAGGACAGTCCAGACGTAAGCATCTAATACCTTTCTTTGGTACATTTAGTACAGAAGTAGTCACCATATATATATTAACAGAAATTTTTGTCTGTATACTAAATAAAAGCTTACATTGAGCACTCAGGATTGTTTGTGGGATTACTTAACCATTTCCTAACTGGAAAATTAGTAATGCTAAGTGGAAATGTTTAGAATTAAAGTAGGTTGTGTATAATTTTATAAGGGGGAAAAAACTCATACCATAATATATAGTAAATAGGCAATATCTACGAGCAAATAATTCTCCAGAGAGGATATAAAATATGGAAAGAAAAACATTGAAAAAATTTGGCTTCACTAATAATCAAAGAAATCCATATTAAAACAGTGCTCTTTGATTATTTTATGGTGGCAGGCTGTGTATACCTACCTATCTCCACTCCTGCTAAAAATTTCTAGTACAAACATAAAAGATTTCTAAAAATTTAAAAAGAGAAAAGATTGTTTATAGTGTTAGAAAACAAAAAGTAACATCAAGGAATCAAACATTGTGAGTAATCTTTAAAAGTAGGTGGGTTAAGATATATTAGGGAGAGAAAATGTAGCCTAACACACATGTAAAAGAGGACTACAAAAATAGGTAAGCTAGCAATTTTACATACAAAAACCGAATAAACAAAATAACTGAGAAAAACAAACAGAAGGCTTTTCAAAGTATGATTCCAAGTGAGGGAAAGTGAGGCTATTACTATTAAAAGGCCTAAAGATTTGTAGATTTCTTCCCCCTCTTCCCCGAAACAACCAGTTTATACTGGAGAACCAGAGAGTGTAGTATGTTTCCTCTGAGTCACATTAAATCTTTTTCTTTTCAGTCGGTCACTCAGATGCTTATGGCTTACCTGTCACGCCTTTCAGCTATTGCTGGCAACAAGATCAATTGTGGGCCTGCCCTTACCTGGATGGAGGTATAACCTAATTCACCTTTAATGAAAGTGTATTTTTAAATTATCTACTTTGAATTTTAATATTAACTTTTAATTTTGATAGGTATTGAGTTTCAGCAATCAAAGAAATAGAGTATATTCTCATCCTCTGGGGAAAATACAGAAAATCATTTTCCTCTCAAATCTTCCTTTAGTAATACAGGACACTAATTTTTATACATCACATATTTTTATGAATCTCAATGATACCTGTTGTTTTAGTGTTTAGTATATTAATGTGTACCTTTAACAAAGTATGCATATATTTTTTCAATTAACTTAATAATTTCAATTATTTATGAATAAGAGAAAACCCTTTAAAGGGTCCTATTTAAGTATTGAGTGAAACATTGTCCAGTAAATATATTAAATATTTTTAATTTGCATATGTAGAGTTATATTATTTTCTCTTTCTAGTAGAAATTGGGAAGGCCAAGGTGGAAAGTGGAAAAGAATGCAAACTGTGAGTCAGGCCAGCTGCACTGAGATCTTAGCCTTACATTGCTGGCCATGTGGTCCTGGAAAACTTATTTACTGTCTGATAGATTATACAGTATCTTTCAACATCAGCATTTTCACCTTTAAATGATGATAAGTACCTTTTAGAATTATGAGGATTAAATTTAGTCATATGTGTTATATGCACAGCACAGTGACTGGCATATATTAACTACCCAATAAATGGTAGTTTCGTGGTTTTTTTAAAGACTTTTTGGGTTATTGTCTCTCTAAATTAAATTGAATTATCTTTTATGGATAGTCAAAGAAAAGAAACATTTGCAAGCCCTATGTCTTTAATCATCTCATAGTACAGTTTTTTGTTACAGATTGATAATAAGGGAAATCACCTTTTAGTTCATGAGGAATCATCCATTAACACCCCTGCTGTTGGTGCTGCCCATGTTATCAAGAGGTACACTGCTCGAGCCCCTGATGAATTGACCTTAGAGGTAAATAACCAAAGAGTTCTATTTGTTAATTGGTCCCTGCTGTCATTCCAGCCTCATCTTTAACCGTTTTAATCATTTCTTTAATTAAAAAAAAATAAAAGCCCCAGGTTTTTCCATAGTCCTTTATCTTTCACCCTGGAATGTCCTCTATTTTTGTTTAAATGATTATATTCATCCTTGAAAACTAAGCATAAACATACCCAACTTCTTCTAGGAAGTCATCCTTGATCTCCTTCTCCTCACTTCACACAAACATACACTCCCCCAAACATGGATCGAATGTCATTCTGAACTGGTCTCATGGCTTATCTCTGACATATTACTCATTACATTTAACTATGAGTGTTCTCTTATTTATCTCAGTGAGTTTCTTGAAAGCAAGGTCTGTTTCTTTTTTGTTTTTGTGTTTTTAGTACCTAAAAACAATGATACTTTTTAAAAAATATTTGTTGAAAGATTGAGTTAAAGAACAGATGAGAGGTGAAATGAACATTTCTTGCTGTCAAGTATAAAAGTAAGGGAATTAATTCTTCCTCTAAAAATATGTATTGGCTGAAGAGAGAAAAAAAATGCTGACAGTTATTTAATTTAAGAAATATCAATATAAATTTTTACTGTATAGAATCTGACCTGTTCTCAAACTAAACTTTTAGGTTCTGTAGAGAAAGAAATGTAGGGCTTGAATGATGCTGTGTATTAACAAATATGGCTTTGTGAAAATCGCTTATTCATGTCTTGAAAGATCAGTTGTGAATAAGCAAAGAGAAATGCCTAAAGTGTTATAGTGTATGTTAGTAACATTGCTCTGAAGTACTTAACTGTTTTTTCATAGATATCAGCACTTATTTTAATTGAAGAATATAACTTCTTTTGAATATATTATTAAAACTATTGTAATTTTTGTATTTATGAATTTGTACAGGTTTATATAAACTCATATAGTTTATCTTTTGCAGTGAAGAAAATTAGTTCTTAAGTGGAAATGTTCTGTTGTACCATCTACTGAAAGAAGGGTAGTCGTCATCAAATTTTACACTTACTAAGAATACTCGTCTTAGGCCTTTTTCTATATGATTAAGTAAAATAGATATGTCAAGAGCTCAGTACAGTGCTTGGCACATGGTAAACACTCACTGAATGTAGTATTAATAGAAGCTGTTGTTATTCTAAATGTGATATTTAAAACTTTTATAAGTGAATCTGATCACTTACAGTGACAGCAATAACAGTATTTTAACAGAATTGATAATGATATGATGCCTAACATTAAAAAATCTTATGCTGTAAATCTGGCATTCTGAAGTGACTGCACATGTGATAATTGGATTACAGTCTTTGTGCTGCTTTACTTTTTGTACACCTGTCCTTAACAAATGGTAAAATTATTAAATTATTTTTTAAAAGAAGTAGTATGTTTTTCTACAAATTATCAGCCAGCTCACAAAACAGTCCTTTACCCTTTTGTAGTTGAGATTAAAATTATAGATATAACAGTTGGTTTAAAATTTAACTAAAACCATTTAAAATTTTGATTCTCCTAGGTGGGAGACATTGTTTCTGTCATTGACATGCCCCCAAAAGTGTTAAGCACATGGTGGAGAGGCAAACATGGATTTCAGGTAGGCAACAAAAAATGAGGTGTGGAAGAGTTCAAAGAACAATTTTCTTTATGTTTCAGTAATACTTCTGTTTACAAGATGCATTGGCAGTGGACTTTCTGTCTGCAATGACAGAAAAATGTAGATGATCATAATGATATTAGACTTGGATTCGCTTTTCTAGTCACTACGGTGGTTGTTTTTTATCTTGTTATTCATCTTTAAATTATAGTGTAACCAAAATGTTAATAGAGTCTCCAAGCTGATGGTCACTTTTAGATTGTCAAGCCTGTTGCTCTGCCTTGCATTTAACATTGGTTTTCAATCATGATTCACATATATTTTCGCTCCAGAATTGTCAGTTTGATTAATATTTTTCTATTAAAATGTACTGTAATTGTTAATGTAAACTTAGTATTAATTGTGGAACAACAGAATCTAAAGCAGTTTCATTTCTTTTTCCCATATACGGTAGTCCTCCCCACCCCTTATATGAGGTTTTGTTTTCCAAGGCTTCAGTGACTGAAGGTCAACCGCAGTCTAAAAACATTAAGTGAAAAATCCAGAAATAAACAATTCATAAGTGTTAAACTGCATGCCATTCTGAGTAGCATGATGAAATGTTGCACTGTCCCACTTCGGACTTGAATCATCCTTTGTCCAGTGTATCCATTATGTAGACGCCACCTGTCTGGTAGTCACTTAGTAGCCCTCCTAGTTACCAGATCGACTGTCGAGGGATTGCAGTGCTTGTGTTCAAGTAACCATTATTTTACTTAATTATTTTATTTCATTATTAGTTATTGTTAATATTTTATTGTGCTAATCTATAATTAAACTTTATCATAGGTACGTACACATAGGGAAAAACTAAGTATATTTAGGATTCAGTACTATCGCAATTTTAGGCATCCACTGGGATGGAACATAACCCCTATGGAGAAGAGGGGGTTGCTATATAGCTTAAAAAATTTGAGACCTGATAATGGCATCTTTTAGGATTGACTTAGCACTAATTTCCATAGAATAGATGGGTTTTCTTTTATCTTTTAAAACCATCCATAGAGGAGCCTGTGAAAATGCCTTAAAATTATGTCCTTAATATATAGTCTGTAGTTTTTTATGTTCTACTTAGAAAAGTGTTACTTAAATGCTACATAAATAACATGCACATGCTATATAGTTAGAAATTTGATAACTATTATATAAAACATTTCTGAACTTTAACTATATCTTTTTTTTTTTTTTTGAGACAGAGTCTCACTCTGTTGCCTGGGCTAGAGTGTGGTGGCGTCAGCCTAGCTCACAGCAACCACAGACTCCTGGGCTCAAGCAATCCTTCTGCCTCAGTCTCCTGAGTAGCTGGGACTACAGGCATGCGCTACCATGCCTGGCTAATTTTTTCCATATATTTTTAGTTGGCCAATTAATTTTATTTCTATTTTTTTAGTAGAGATGAGGTCTCGCTCTTGCTCAGGCTGGTCTCAAACTCCTGACTTTGAGCGATCCTCCTGCCTCGGCCTCCCAGAGTGCTAGGATTACACGCGTGAGCCACCATGCCCGGCCTACATCTTAAATAAAAACAAATTATCAGCTTTTTATAAAATATATTTTATTAAAAAATAATAATATAATTTAAAACAGCACAGCGTAGTGGTTAAGAGTGTGGATTCTCATGCCACATTGTCTGGGTATTAATCCTGTGTTATCTTGGAAAAATTATATAACTCACTGTGCCTCAGTTTCCCCATTTGTAAAATGGGGATTGCAGGACTAAACTTTACCTCACAGGGTTGTCATGAAGATTAAATGTATAATGATAAAAATGTAAAGTACTAAGACCAGGCCTGACGTATAATTTTTGATCAATAAATATCGATTCTCAAATGTAAATAATTCTGTTTTTTGTTTTACAAATTTAATTTTATCCCTTTCTCTATTATAAAACCACCTATATCAATTTAATTTGGTGAATAAATACAGAAAAATTATATTACAACTTTCCTTCTTTGGACTATTGGGGTCCTCCTTCATCTGTGCTCTCATTTCTTAACTGCTATGAATAATAGGTGCTTTTGATTAAATATAAAACTAAACAGAAGACTGGAATGATCTATTTTCCTATTAAAGGGTCAATTCTCCATGTTAATGGAAATGACCTGTAGACCTCAGGCTTTCAAAGATAACCAAAAATCAAATTTGGCTTTGAAGTGAAAGGTATGTTTTGGTCTTGCCACTACTAACTTTCTTATATAACTTTAGAAAGTCATTTGCTTTCTTTGGCCTTCAGTCTCTTTAAAATCAGAGGGTTCCACTTATAACCTCTCTATTCTTTCTTGACATTTTAATTCTATGATTATAAAAATAGTAACAGATTTTCCCTTTATTTGTGTAAATATTTATTGAATACTGACTTTATTCTAGGTATAGATTTATATTCTTAACTATTTTATTGAGACTCACACAAATTATCTAAACAAACTTTTTTGAAAGTTAATATAAGTTAACTAGTTTAAAACTAGTTAAAATTAATTTATTTCCAATCCAATTATTTAAAATAAAAACAAATTTTTTAAGGATTAATTTGAAATTGATAATGAAAAATTGGTAATGGAAAATAGCATGGAAAATGGTATTTTCCATCTTGATTGGTCTTAGAAAGGCAGCCGAATCTCTGTGGGTGATGTTGGAGTGTGCCTGTGAGTAGAGGAGCTGGTGTGTTTGTGTTTGTGTGGGGGCAGTGGGGTCCATGCAGCCAGGAATAAATCTTTAAATGTGACTACCAAACATTTTTTAAAAAAGGACTCCAGTATTTGAAGGGAAGTTCACACAGTTGACCATTCCTTGTTCCTACACACTAGTCCATTTGTAAGAGTGCATGTGGTTAATTGCCAGGAAAGTGTGAAAGGGGAGAGGTGTTGAGCATCTGTTACCTGCAAAGTACATCTCAGCACTTCACATGCAGTGTTTTCTTTAATTTAATTTCACAAACTTATAGGTAGATATTATGCCCATTTTTTATGGAAAGAAGACAGTTTCTGAGAAGACAGCCAGGATGCTAAATCAGTAAGTTACTGCAATAGGGACTCAAATCCAGGTCTGCTGTGGATTGCCTAAAGAGCACTAAACACGATTTCTACATTCACTCTCAGATTATTAACTTTCTCTGTCACAGTTTTCTATACTATAGAAAGGAACATCTTTCCTTCCCAACTAGCAAGGAATGTAGTAAAGATTAACCAACTGTGGACTGCAAAGTGACCATGTTTACTGGTAGAAACATAGCTGTTACTGTGTGTTATGTTTTTATGTGATGATTAATAAATTGTTTGCCAGGGAAAAACTATTTAGGCTCCTCATGATGTTCCCTACCCTTATTAGGTATTTTTGAATTATAAACATGTGCCCCTCTGAGATACTCTATTGAGAGAGGAAGATAATCAGAATCGTCCATATATATGATAAGTATAAATCAGAGCTCTTTTTTTTTTTTTTTTTTTTTTTTGATAGTCTCACTCTTTTGCCCAGGCTAGATTGCAGTGGCATCACAGCAACCTCAAACTCCTAGGCTCAGGTGATCCTCCTGCCTGAGCTTCCCGAGTAGCTGGGACTGCAGGCACGAACTACCATGCCTGGCTAATTTTTTCTATTTTTAGTAAAGACAGGTCTCGCTCTTGCTCAGGCTGGTCTCGAACTCCTGAGCTCAAGTGATCCTCCCGCCTCGACCTCCCAGAGAGCTAGGATTATAGGTGTGAGCCACCATGCCCGGCCCCAGAGCTCTTTTTATATCCTGATTTTCCAATTCGAAATAACTGGAATAATATCTTAGTCCAGTAGTTTTTATACTTTTTTTTTAACCCAGTGAAATTAATAATCAAATAGAATCTTGCACAGAATCTCCATATGAGAAAAGTTAATAGTGGAGCTGCCCTGACTGGTTCAAGTGAGGCACACTGGGCCTTGTACCCCACAAAGCCTGCCTGGCTGGCTTTCCGAGGCTACCTACAACAACCCAGAGGGATCTCAGTAGATATGAAAACCACTAATTTATGTTACCACTGGACCTTCCTTTTTGTAGTAGATATGTTATATCAAAGCTGTTCTAATATTTGAATTTTTAAAAGTCAGTTAATAGTCTAAAAGTTATTAGAGAAACATGTTCTTTATAAGGTCATTTTTATGTAACACCTTTTAGAAGGGTAATATTTAGATTTTAAAATTTCTCTAATGTAAATTATATATGATTACTATACTTTGTGTATTCTGATATAGGTGGGTGATACAAATTCAGAATGCAAATATTCTCATATATTGTGTGTGTGTAAGAGAGATTTTTTTTTCCTTTATTGGGCATGGTTATTTGTAAGGTTCATTTATTCTTTCATTTGTCTGTTAGGTTCTATTAGTTTATTAGGGCTACCATGCAAAATAGCACAAACTAGATATCTTGAAATAACAGAATTTATTTTCTCATAATTCTGGAAGCTAGATGTCAAAATGCCAGAGGTTTGGTTTCTTCTGAGGTCTTTCTCTCTCCTTGGCTTATAGAAGGCTACCTTCTCACTGTGTCTTTCCATGGCCTCTGTGTTTGTGGTTTTCTGTGTCCCAACCTCCTCTCCCCTTATAAGGACACCAGTCAGGTTAGATTAAGGCCCACCCATATGACCTTATTTAACCTAATTACCTCTGTAAAAGGCCTATCTCTAAATATACAGTTGATCTTTGAACAGCATGGGTTTGAATTGTGCAGGTTCAGTTATCTGTAGATTTTTTCAATTAATCTTGGATGGAAAACATAGTATTTGTGGGATGTAAAACCTGAATATACTGCTTTTAGAATATGCAAGTTCTGCAGCGCTGAGGCACTTGAGTATGTGCCAATATTGGTTTATGCAGGAGTCCTGGAATCAGTGCCCTGAGTATGCTGAGGGATGACTATGGCCACATTCTGAGGTGTTAGGGATTAGGAACTCAACGTATGAATTCTAGGGAGACACAATTCAGCACATAATAGGTACCAA